AGTTATATTCATTTTGATTTAAAATTTATAACATGGATTATTACATTTATCATAAATTTTATTTAACTATTTTAGAAAATTTTATGAAATAGATTTGTGTGTTAAACTGGGATCAATATACTTTATATACTTGCATACACAACATTATTTTTTTAAATTTGTATATATTAAACTTCATGTAACATATTTGTTTATTGGATCAAATCATCGATCTCCAATTTTTTTATTTTAGTCATAAAATATAGTATTATGTTTGAAAAAAATACAATAATATATTATTAATGGGTTAATAAATATATAACCAAATACTTAATATTAAGATGGTTTGTACAATCTCAGCACAGAGCACATACTTTTCACAATACTGAAAGATATATTAATTATTGATAGATTTAAAATAAAAAAATACTAAAGATTAATGATAATTCTAGTATAATTTTATATGACAAAAAAATTCACATAAGCATATTAACAAATTTGCGTGAAAATTCCTTCTAAAATTCCTAATTTTACTCAAAACATTTAGCTTTACAAAAAAATATTCAAAAAAATAATCCTTTATTCTTTCTTGTTTCATATTTAATTGAGCCGAGATCAATCATTCTCTACCTTTATCTTTATCCTAGGTAATTCTACAGTAATGTATTTATCGTCTCAATCAATTGTGATATCAGGATAGTACATAATAAAGAGTAAAAGATGTGACAAGAGTCTAGAAATCTATTAGGATCTATTTGGATCAATCAAATTATGTTATTACTCATAATTGATATGTATCAGAGACAAAACATGTTGATAATTTTAAACAATAAAATAGTCTGCATGGGCGCTCTAACACTCTTTTAGTGTAAATAATCCTTAAGATTAATTTTAAAATCTCTTGGGGCCAAGAATAAACAACTAACAAGTTTGTATTGGAAGCTAGTGGAACATAGTATATTCTTAAGAATTATTAATCTTTACTTAATTTATTTATAATGATAGGATCTCATTATTAACTAACTACAAAGTATAGTACATTATTTTTTTTATTGGGCGTTCAATGCAGACAGAGAACCCAAGCGAGTCTTCGTCGCAATGAATATTATCCAATTTAAGTACAAAAAAAAAAGTTGATCAATGGTGTAGTTGGTGAGGAGAAACTCTAGCAGCTTAATTTGGGTATGTGGATATATTATAGATGGAGACGGAGAAGAGTGGTTTTGAAAACACTGGGTGTGTGTGGGTAATTAATATGGTTTTTATTTGTGTGATTTTCTTCGTTCATTTTCAATAAATCTGCGGTCCTGTGAATATATATAGCTATAGTATTACTACTCTCTTTTGGTTTTTCTAAAAGAGTTTGGGTGTAAAGAAATTTTTTTAAAATTATCTAATCCGGTTAAAGTAGGATCACATAAGTTAACCCCATATGTGAAATTTATTTTAACCAATACCCATATCTAAGTATTGTAATTAGCATTAAGATCTAAGATACATGTGAGATTCTCTTTGACTTTTATACAAATATCATCTATTTAAATAATAATGGTATAATTAAACTTTGTGATCTTAAAAAAGATCAAACATATAATATAATTAATTACTTTAAACTAATCTAATATAATCTAATAAGGGGGAAAAAATAAATGAAAGTAATGTGAAAATTATTGTAATTTTATAATTCATAATTTTTAAACAATCTAATCTAATCTAATAAGAAGAAAATAACAAAGACACATACATGTTGAAGGAGATGAAAATGCTGTGAAAATTGTCATGATTTCTTGATCTAAAAAAAGATCAAACATACAATATAATTATTTGTTTTAAAATAATATAATCTAATCTAATAAGAAGAAAATAGATATGAAGTGATGTGAAAATTGTTGCTATTTTTTTATATGAAAAGATTAAATATATAATATAATTAATTAATCTAATCTAATCTAATCTAATAAGAAGAAAATAGCTATTTAAATAATAATAGTATAATTAAACTTTGAAACTAATTATGCATTACCGTGAACTACTTGAATTTTAGTCGATGAGAGTCTGTCACACTGTGTCCTCAGATCGTAGCCGTTTGTTTTAATTTTCGTTCTTTGTTTTTGAGAATAATTTTGTCTCTTTAATTTGTTTGGTGATTTTGCATATACCCTGTCCACATTATGTACATTTGTAGGTCTGCACTGCTCTTAGGTTCGATCTTTAGAATAGACATTATTTTGCCTTGTTAAATTGTTTGGTTTATGCATATATGTCTTTCATCTTATAAACATTTGTGAATTTGGCATTTAATAATTTCATTCAGCTTTACATTTCAATTTAAACTATATCATTATCTTCATACTATGTATATCCAATAAGAATTCATCAATTTATCAACTTACTCTTACTTAATGAATTAATATTTGAATTTTAAGGGTATTTTTGTCTACCGAAAGATTTTCTCAAACTCATGCTTTTAAAAGGAGTATGATATGATATGATATGATATAATCATACTCCTTTTAAAAGTACGAGTTTGGGAAAATCTTTCGGTAGACAAAAATACCCCTACAAGTTTGAACTATCCTATCACTAATAAAATTCTAATTTTTAAATTGTGTTTAATGATGATTTATCCTAATCCTAATCAAATTCTAACTTTTAAATTGTATAATTATCTTAAATTGTGTTTAATGATGATTTATCCTAATCCTAATCAAATTCTAACTTTTAAATTGTATAATTATCCTAATCATAACAAATTCTAAATAGGATCAGAATCAAACATCTCGTTATATATAAGCCTCTAAACCCCCAAGAAAAATATTTATATTCCATATATACCTCAAGAGCAATCTCTCTCCAAGGCTGCATCTAGCTTCCATCAAATTTCAAGTTGATTTCATTGTCTAGGTAATGATTCTTTCAGCTGCTTCCTTATCTTCTTAATTGATTAATATTAATTCATCTCATATGTTGATATTATATTGATCAGAAGATATTTGTGGGTGATGAACTATTAACAATTATTATTCAGAATTCAGAAGTTTCTTGCTGCGTATTTAAGAAATATATCCCATATTTTATGTTAAATTTCACAAAACTACCACGTAATACCCCCTATAAAGTTTAAACTATCCTATCACTAATCAAATTTTAATTTTTAAATTGTGTTTAATAATTTATTCTAATCCTAATCAAATAACTTCAAAGTTTAAATTATCCTAATCGTAATCAAATCCTAACTTTTAAATTGTATAATTATCCTAATCATAACAAACTCTAAAAAGGATCATAATCAAACATCCCGTTATATATAAGCCTCTAAACTCCCAAGAAAAATATTTATATTCCATATATACCTCAAGAGCAATCTCTCTCCAAGGCTGCATCTAGCTTCCATCAAATTTCAAGTTGATTTCATTGTCTAGGTAATGATTCTTTCACCTGCTTCATTATCTTCTTAATTGATTAATCTTAATTCATCTCATATGTTGATATGATATTGATCAGAAGATATTTGTGGATGATGAATTATTAACCATTATTATAATATATTCTTTAAATATCCTTGGTTGTAAATCTTCTACTCATTAGTTAATTTCTAGATCATGCATGCAATCAGCAAACGGACCTAATTTATTGTAAAATATCAAATCCTTAGCAAATAAACCAATAAACTTTATTGGAGTACATATAGAGCCCAAGTTTGGGGGAAGGAGGTCTGATTGATTCCCAAATCCTCGGAATTCAGAAGTTTCTTGCTGTGTATTTAAGAATTGTATCCCATATTTTATGTTAAATTTCACAAAACTATCACATAATACCCCTATAAAGTTTGAATTATCCTATCACTAATCAAATTCTAATTTTTATGCTCTCACTAATTTTTATCCTATCACTAATCACTATAAAGTTTGAACTTTATAAAGGTTGAACAACTACGTAATACCCTTATAAAGTTTGAACTACCATGTAATTTTTATCCTATCACTAATCAAATTCTAATAAAAATAAATAATTATTTTTCCACTCAACTAACATGATTAACGGCCCTGTGGTGAGTTGGTATGTACATGACTTGTTGTGAACATTTTAATTTGCTCATATTTACTTGTGAAATTTATCCACCATGAGCTATCCACAAAATAATCACAAAATTGTCTAATATATATCATGTGTGCATCACACGCAAACTCACTCTAATATGCATTTATAGATCAAAACTTTACCAGAAACAACCCAAAGTTTCTAATAAAGAAGAGAAAACAATTTCATTCACTAAAAAGATTCAACAATTTGTCTATAAAATTTCAGCTCCCCCCTAAACCAACAAAAGGCAAAGGAGAATCTCTACTGACCACTGACCAAATTATTGTGCAATTTTGTAGTTAAGCATCATCATACTTCCAAATTTGCATGACACCCCCGGTTGATTTCCTAAATGAACCAAGGCAAAGCTCCCTATTAAGAGGCAAAGAGCATCACTCTTCTAATGTTTAGTCTTGTATCAGATATAAAGAGAAAGTACTAATGAAAAGTTACAATTTGTGTACTACCTTAGATATAATCTGACTTATTTTTTATATTATATTGCTTGCACAACGTTACAGCTTGCTAAACCTCAATATCTATTCGATAAATTGCATAAAAACCCCAATAACTTTTAGAATACCTTTTTGTGTTGTTTTTCTATTTACATATAACTAATTAAAATAAAATATATAGCTTAGTGTTAATTAATTATATTTTTCAAACATTGATCTCTGTTGTTAATAATATTTACAGGGTAACAAAATACAAGGAGTTATGTACTGAGAGACTATTGAAAACTTTATAGATTTGCTTCGAAAGAATCAAATTAGTTTCATTTCAAATGGAGAAGTAAAAGGAATAAACCCAGCTTTTCCAAGTATCCACAAGTCACTTGAATTAGTATTAATAAAAGCCGTATCTATCAAAGAAGTACTAATTGGTTTTCACTTGGAGACATATTGAACAACTTTGTCCCATTTGAAGAAGCATTTTCCATGAAGGATGCAACAAAACTTAGTAAGTACTTATAAATTTCTTACTTTAATCTTCAATACAAAATGAGACGTTAATTTATAGAATCATAAACTTTTTATAAAATTACTTGCAGATATTCTTACAATAACAACTAACGTGAAGCCGGTGATCAACTATATTACAAGATATAACAAACCAGACAATATGAGGGAAATCACGCTAATGGATAAAAGGTATATGATACTTATTTCTAATATCATAAGAAAAAATAAGATTAACTTACTTTATTTTTTTCATATACAGTGGAATGACTATGTGCGCAATTTTATTTGGGGATTTGGCTACAAATGAAGGATTAATTCTTGAAGCCGAAATCAAAGATAAGCCTATAATATCATTATCAGATTTTAAAATCTCTATATTTAAAGGTACATAATTTATTACTAAAATTCTTTTTAAAGACAGCTAAACATAAAATTCATCCTATAATTATCTTAATTTTGCAGGTGAGACAAGCATATCGTCGCAAATTATATCAACATTATGTATCAACCAAAAAATACAAATACTAAAGAATTAAGAGAATGGTAAGTAGAACAAGCATACTTTCATATAATCCAATAATAAAATATTATTATATTTTAATCTAATATGCATGTTTTAATTGGAAGAAGCCGCAAAAACAAAAGGATCTCCATTGACGCTTTTTATAAATGCAAAAGAAATTTAAATTAGTGATATTATGCATACATCACAGAATTCGATACATGTACAATATTAGAAACCTATTCTTATTAACACATTTAAATCTAACTAAATTTTATCAATATACATACACACTATTATACATTAAGGCAAAGATAACTACTATTTTAAATAGACTCGAGCCATGGTTCTATGCTTGCAAAGGCTGCAATAAGAAGGTAGATAAAGATGTTAGTAACGTGTGTCTGAATGATAAATACCGCGGAATCATTGAGGACTCAGTACCAAGGTAAAGTAATATATCTTTTTTATGTCATGAACATATTAAAATATAATATTAACTATCTTTTGAAATCAACAATGAAAACTGCAGGTACGTAGTTAAGATTCTCGTGGAAAAAGTAAGGATAATGCAAGAGTAACATTGTTTGATGCAGCAGAAACTCTTATTGGATGCACATCAGAAAAATTCATTACAGAGAAAGATGTAATTCCTAACTCTATTCAAGTAATAATTTAGAAAAACAAAAAATTCATATATATTAATATAACATTTGTTCTCATTGCAACAGAAATATAATCAAAGTCTATATTTTCAGAAATTTGTGTTGAACATCAGAAAAACGTACAAATTCCTAGTGAAGTTAGATGAAAAAACAAAAGATAAACGAGGCGAAGGAAATATAATAGCATAAGAAATTCAACTCCAGCTTGATATTACAATCGACGTAGATGATCGATGAAGATGCTACTCTAGAATTCCCCAGGAAAAAGATAAAGGTGGAGAAAGATTGATCTCGATTCAATAAAAATATGAAACATAAATAATAAAGGATAATATTTTTTGATCATTTTATATCATAACTTAAATTTTGAGTCGAAATAGGAATTTTTATAAGGGATTTTCATGTAAAATTATTAATAGTTTTGTATGCTTATGTGATTGCTTTCATCACATAAAATTATACTGTAGTTATCATTAATATTTAGTTTGTGTCTTTTTATTACTTTAAGACAATCAAATAATGTAATTGAGATTATCTAACTATTTTATGTTCTTTCATTTATTAAGAAAATACAACCATCTAGACATGTTCATGTCTGTTTTTCGAAATCTTGCTTTTGGAAATCCTAAGTCAGTCCACCCTTGTGCAAGTTACTTTTGTTTGCATATATAAGGTTAATATTGATTTAAGTGGGATCTTATGTACACTTTTCCTCAGAGAAATGGAGGCTTTTTTGATATTTTCTTAATTGGACAAATTTTAGGGTTTTTTCAGGGCAAAATAGTTCACTATCGTTTTGTGAAATCTACTATTTGTTAGTTATACTTGCTATTGCTTTAGATACTGGTAAGTGTGAAATTTGCTATTTGTTAATTATACTGGCTATTGCTTTAGATACTGGTAAGGGTTCAGTGTGATAACAAACTTTCAACTTAAATTCCTTGTGTTTCTTAGGGTGATGTTTCTAATAACTTGGTAGTAAAGAGGTTTAAAAAATTCAAAAGTTCTGTTAGGTCTATTAATATTTTCTTGATTACTATTGAGATTGTTTATTATAAAACATGAGCTTATAATGTCCCAATGTGTTGTGTGATTTTATTTTCAATGTAATAAAAAATATGGTCTCTTTTTTACTAGAACATTAGTTCATAATGATATTGCTACTCATGCTTGATTCCATATTTTATCTTGAGATTAGTAGAGTTTGGAATATGACATAAAGTATTAATTTAACTTATTTTCTTTTACTATTCTACTTGAAGATATTGTTATGTCATTTGATATTTTTTCTTAATAAATCAATTAAGATGTCCTAGTTAAGCTTATAATATCCAAAAATGTTGTGCAATTCTATTTTTAATACAATAAAAAATGTGATTTCTTTATTTCTATAACTATAGTTCATAATGACAATAACAATATCCCAGTTAGGTATATTCATCCCAGTTTAGCTTAAAAATCCATTACATTAATTTTTAATAATATTTAAATAAAAATAATAGTAAATATAATAATTCAAGTTTACATATTTGAACTCAAGATAAATCTATATTATTTATAATAATAAAATAAATATAGAAAAAAATATTTTGATATTTAACCACGTGCACTGCACGTGCATAAAAACTAATTAGACACAAAATATTAATTAGAGATTTTTCAAGAATATTCATAAGAATATCTTCTCCCTCGACGCCCCCACCCAAAAAGTGCACAGCACACGGCAGGTGAAAACAGCAAATTTGTTCCGTTGATTCCAAGAAAACCATTAATAAAAATTAAAAAACCCAGCTGTAAAATGGTTGGCAGTCTCCGCACGATTCCCCCAGCGTGGCGTTCCTAAAATACACCCACCTACTCATGTCCTCTCTCCTGAATAAAATAATCAAACTTCATCCCAAAATGCCCCTCTTCTCTACTATAAATACCCCCCTTTCGTAGCCTTTGAGGGCTTCTTTCTTTCATTTGCTTGCGCTCTGCTTTCTTGGAGTCTTCGCTGTTTTCGATTTCCAGCTAAGTATTACATTTCTTTTGTCAGCTTTGTTTATTTCCACTCTCTTTTTTTAAAGATAATTAGGGTTTTATTTTATCCCTTTTGGGGATTTCTTGGAATTCATTGTTTGAGGTTTTAGTTGGGTAAAAACTCAGCTCGAGAATCACATCTTTGGATAAGTTCTCTCGTTGAGCTCTCCATCTTGAGAATCCCAGTGCGAAAAATCTGTTCTTTTAGACTTCATCCACTACAAATCTAAACTCATACTAAATATAGAAGGCCCAGGTCATGATCTCAATGCTCTGGATTTCAATTCAATTGAAACCCAATCTCTAGCCTTTATGAAGTTCGCAACTCTTCCATTCTGCTTGCTCAGTTCCTTCTCTGTTGTTTTCCTCTACTGGTTCTACGTTTTCTCATGAACTAACCACCATTTCCCCTCAATTTCCCAACAAATTCCAGTCTTTTCTAACTACCCATTGCTAAAAAATTCATAAAACAATAAGCCTTTGAGAGAGAGAGAGAGAGAGAGAGAGAGAGAGAGAGAGAGAGAGAGAGAGAGAGAGAGAGAGAGAGATCTGTGGACGTGGCTCGCCAATCCTCCGGGTCCGAAGGGGACCCAAATCTTGCCATTGATCCGAGGAAAAGGAAAAGGATGATCTCAAACAGGGAGTCGGCGAGGAGGTCTCGGATGAGGAAGCAACAGCAATTGGATGATTTGCTCAAACAAGCTGCGCTCCTCAAAGAAGAGAATGCTCGAATCACAATGCAGATTGATCTGTACACTGCACAGCATCTCAAGGTTGAAGGAGATAATACTATTCTGAGGACCCAAGTGATGGAATTAACTGAAAGGCTTCGGTCGCTGAATTCGGTTCTTCAGTTTATTGAGGAGTTCAGTGGGATAGAGATGGACATTCCGGAGATTCCGGATCCTCTGCTTGAGCCATGGCAGCTCCCGTGTCCTGCTCAGCCGATCACTGCATCTGCAAACATGTTCCAGTTCTGAGTTCTTGGTTTCCTTGAGAGATTTGGTGGGCTTCATTTTGGTTTAGTATCGTGTCGATTAGAGAGGTTTGCCTCTTATGTTCTGAAATGTTATGGTGGACTTAGGTATTGAGTAGTATTTCTGTGTGTTATATATATGTTTTTTTCCCGTTCAGTATGTGTCATTGATCTTAGCATGTGTTGTGACTTGAATGTGATGTCAATTTCTAGTTATGTTGTTGGAATCTTGTATGGTTGATTAATCTAGTGTATTGTGAAATCTTGATGGGTATTTTGTTGATATTTGTTTGCTCATGTGGTGTTAATTTATTGGCAAGGAATGTTGAATGTGTTTTGTTAATAATTATCATTATTTTGTTGAAGAAATTTTCAAAATAGCCCCAAATCAATTTTTTTAAATCGACCCACTCCATTTTTAATTCCAAAAATCGACTCAGTTTTTTGCCACGTCAGCATTGTGGCTAAAAACTGGGTCGATTTAAAAAAAAAACCCATCTACCTAATTAGTCAGAGTTGTTAACATTAACTAATTAGGAGCACCCCAATGCGAGATGTGCGGTTAGGGGACTAAATAAGTAAGGGTTGCGAGCCTCGACTAATTTTATTAGGGTTGGGACCCTGACTAATTTTGTCGGGGTTCCCAACCCAGACCGTTTGGCAGAGCCCACTACGGTGGGATTGCCCCCCCCAACCCAATGGTCGGGGTTCCCAACCTCGAGCATTTGATAAAGACCCTCCAGCCCGCATTTGCTGAAAAATCTCATCTCATGCTAACATATATCAATCCTCGACTAAAATTGTCAAGTTTTGTCAAGTTAAAAAAAATTATTGCTTAACATTTATCAATCCATAATCAATTTCAAACACAAACAAACACATATCTTTATATAATTAGTACAACTATAACCAATTTCTAACAAAAACATAATTTAATTACTTTCTAAAAATCCAACTATAATCAAGTCACAGTAGCATTTCAAACATAAACATCATATGAAGTATATCGAAATTTAGCAAATATTTAGAACTCTCTTTCCTCTTCCTCTCCCTCTCCCTCTCCCTCTCGCTCTGCCTCTTCTTCCTCTCCCCCTTCCCTATTCACCTTCAACATGAGCTTGAATGATCCTAACGTCCGGTTGTGTATGAACTTGTGAGCGCATGACATCCTCGTTGACTTGAACCTGTTGTGAACATCCAGCTTGAACTTGTTGGGAGCCTCCAGCTTCATCATGAGCATGACTTGAGCCCGCTCTCGTGTGTCCTCGGACCCATCGGCGCTCGTACCCTATGAGTCGTTCCTCACGTCCATCACAATTTGCATGACACGTCTTTCTAAGAGAGAACTGAATCTTTCCTATGATGCGAACAAATGTGTTCCTCGCCCCTGGCTCAGTAGTCAATCTTAATGCATCATGTGTAATAGAAGCAACCTCATCGAGTTCTTGTACCTATAAGATAAAAAGCGAGAGAGGATTATTAGCAAGTGGATGATAATAAAATAATAATCACAAAATAATTGTATATTTTGCCTATACCCTTACCAACTCTCTCTCAATTGGACCTCTCAGTATGTACTCCTTAGGTGCTTTGTTCTCTCGAAATATCCATCGGCGAGTAATCCCTCAATACCACCATAAGTACACATTTAATTCTGGTGTGTCAACCCTCTCCATCACCATAGCATCCTCCCTCAACTCCTAATTCTCAATGTAAGCATGACGAATTATCTCCCAAGTTTAATGATGTGCTTCTTTTCGAGGATTTCGATCTATTCTTTCTACATGATCTCAAATATGTTGTTTTAATCCAAATTGTCGGAGCACACGATTAGGCACGTACATTTCGACAATCTCAAAACATACAATCGATACTCGGGCGCGCCATATATCTTCACCATCTCTGCAAATATCTAGTAGTGAAGCTAAAACCAGTTCATAGGGCATCCACTTGACCTATAAAGAAGATTATATAAATTTACATATTAGTAACAAATGATGTATTGATTGAATATATTTAGATATTATTTTTACACATTTTCATCCTCCATTTGATCAAGCTCGTTCTTGTAAAAATTTTCATGACCATTTGGGAGGTTTGCCAATATCTGAAAACATACCATCTATTTGATATACAAATGTTTAGTATAGATTGAAATAAATGTATAAAATTACATGTAGTCATATCTATTACAAAGTAATATTACCTACATCCTAATGGAATCTGACCATCGAGAGCACGAGTTTCCCTCAAATCTAGTGTTCCCAAATGTCATCGCTCCCATGACCATCTTTGCAACAAAGTGAGGAAACATTTGAATTCTTTATTTTGCATGAATGCCATTTTTGTCCTCTCCCTATAGAGATAAGCTAACACTGCACTCCCCCAAGATAATTCTCCACACTCCTCTAGATCCTCAAGAAGTGGCAACCATCTAACATGCACCGAATCATTAGTGGAATCCGAATGATACTGATCATATGGAGTATATACGCACAGTCATAGCTCTTGACGATATCATCAGTGGCATCGATCGGTACATTCATATAATTATTTTGTAACCACTCGAGCTTGATCTTACCATCCTTCATTTAGGAGATTGACCCAGCAATCATTCACACACTCCTATCCAGTTGAAGTCATTGGTACCCATAACAACATATCCATCCACTTTGAGGCCAAGTAAAACTCCTATATCCTGCAGAGTAATAGTTGACTCTCCTTGACGCATGTGAAATGTATTTGTCTCGGGCCTTCATCTTTCAATCAATGCCGTCAAGAGAGGTCAATCGAGTCTTACCCATTTTATCTGTGAACATTCAAAAAAGCCTGCTTGACGAACATAATATTGGACCTGTGGATCCGTCAAATCCCAACTCGAATGTGCACGAGTATGATCAACAATAGTAATATTAGGGGCCTGCATATATTAAACAGTGTAAATGATCAATAACAATAATAACATTAAAAATTTAAAATGATTGAAAATAATAAAAATATAATTTACCTCCTCAGTGTCTATTTTCCCAGATCAATGTCGATCTTGGTCATATAGGACCTCATATGTTAATGGTCACGCCTGTATACTGTAAATATCTACGCATATAAAGATAAAATGTGTCAGTATTATGACGTATGATAAATTAGAATTAGAAGTAAATTACAGAATTTACATATACACAGTGACTTACAAATGAAGTAGAATAAAATTATCAATTAAATAAATTGTACCCATTAATTACTATCTATTTGGATTGGTAGGACAATGAGATCTATTATGGCCCGATTGTCTGCAATATCTACACCATTTTTCTTTGGAGCTCCTTCACGTCCTTCATCCATTGTGCTTTTTATGCGTACTGATCGCGAACATCTGGCTTGTCTCTTATATTCAGGAGGTAACACATGCGTCCTATTATAGGGTGGCCAGTAATGACTATCTACAATGGAATGAAAATACTGCTTGTATGAATCTCTATAGTGGCTTGATTGATACCACTCAGAAGCGTATGTGTAATACGAAGTATTTGCACCTCCAAATTGCTTGGACGAAACCGCTATAACATGTGAACATAATAATTTTTGTAATTCTGGTATGTTACAAGTGCATGCGCATTGTGTCCCTCATAAACTGATGGTGTAATTATGACCGTGTTTGTCTGTAGTCAACCATTCATCTATAGCAAATCTAACAATCTTTGTTGATATCGCCTGCACCACACGAGACCCTACAATCTCTTTATTTTTTGCTGTCAATAACATCACCCATTTTGCTCCATCCTCTCGGCGCTTGACAAAATAGTGATTGAGTCTATAAAATATCCTCGTAACCAACACATGTATGTGTATTGCTCGAGCTCCCTTAAGTACACCGTTGAAGCTTTCAGAACAATTAGTTGTCATCATGTAAACCGATTCCCTCCATCTTTACTTAGTGTCCACCGTCGACACATTATTACTTCCTAAACTACTCTCAATCCAGTCATGTGTAGCTTGAGATGTTGCCTTGATTTGATCTCGTATCCGATCATACACACATGTTTCAGGTGTATAGCCTGCTTGCCAAAGAAGGTTTTGTAAATGTATTGTAGGCGGTCTAAAAATCACAATAGATAGCTTATCCAAACAATCCGACAATGGAGGTCATAATCAGACGACTTCCTAATCACTGCATCCGCAACTCCACAATTGCCACAAACACGACCTCACTTCTGAGATGATTGATCTTGATGGCGGCGACAACAGCATGAGATGTTGATGAGCAATGGGATGATTTCAGAAATAAAAGGTTGGACTTAGTTGGTGAGTTGCTTGGTAGAGAGCTGAGGGCAAATATCCGTCTTTAAGACACTATGGATGTTGATTCCCGTCTAGCTCCTACAACGAAAGCTACAATCAAATAGCTTTCGGGTCGATGATCGAAACATACAGTCGAATAGTTGCTTGGTAGAGAGCTGAGGGCAGATATTTATCTTTAAGACACTATGGATGTTGATTCCCGTCTAGCTCCAACAACGAAAGCTACAATCAAATAGTTTTCCTGGGGCATTTAAGATCGCGAATCGAGTTGCATATCCGCCGACTTTACCATTCTTCTGGAACTGGAGACAATTGTTGGCCACCCAGTAAGGATGTTGTTCTCTCCCTAACAAAACCTGAGTTCTAATAAGCTTTTTAACTTCTGACCTCAATTGTTATCCGATGCATCGTTCTGACGCAAAACCTACGTTGAGTTGCTTTTAACGGCGGTTTTTGCGTCTGGATCAATGCTCTGAGACGGTGCACGGCAACCTTCGGGTCGGAAGGCCGCGGCATATCTCATAGTCAAGCGGAGACATCTATATGATTCTCGGAGTGAGAGATAAAGGTCTTCTTTTTTCGGCGGATGGCGACAAGTCTTCAGCTATGATATGCCGGCTTTAGGATTCATTGTTTCATCTCCCATGTGACCTGGATTACTTTATCTTCAGGGGCGGTTCACTGGTGTTCGAAACGCATATCCCATTAGGATATTGAGACGCTTGAGTCCATAAGCACATCGCGGTCGATATCCAATAATTCCTCTGTCACCCCATGTGTCTTCGTGCTGGATGGACTTGTTGAAACCCATGCTTCACAGTCAAGGTCTTTAAGAAGGGGCGAAGCGACGCCGAAATGCCAGCGGACTCGATGGACAATATTACGCGATGACTGATCATGACGTAAGTAATTACTGATTCGTTTTCCGAGGCGGCGGGAGGTGTGACCGTAACCCACGCCCCTTCGCGTTTTGCAATAATTAGTTC